TGCATTATGTAAAGGTACAATTCCCAATGAGAAATGTAATTGTGTTGTATACCTACAATGTACCAATAAAAGAATTTAATTTAAAAAAAAAAAGGAAACCTGGTTATCTTGCATTCTCTTTGATGGGAGGTACAAGTGATGTGAGAGGTACTAGGAATGAGACATAGAGAGGAAGAATGAAATAATGTGAAAACAAAAAATAGCTGTGACACCGCACACAACTAAGAAAGAAAGCATCAGTCCATGTAGCTCTTCATACTGAGACTATCAGCTCTTCAGACTGAGACTATCAATCCCTGAGTAAAAGAATAAAACCTATCTACAAAAAAGGAGCTAGTGTCATCCATCAGTGTACATACAAGAAAAAAAAATGTGAAAAGTGTCATGATTATAGAGACGTGGCACTCAGATTTTAGACCTTGTGGTACATTTAAAATTGAGTCATAATCTCTCCTTGGAAGTTAATGCTGCACAAACAAATAGGTTTGTGTTAGGAAATCTGCAAAAAAAGCATTTGGAGAATTGTTTTTTGTAAATTTATAAACTACTACTAAAATGGATTGATAAAATCATTTGTAAAATATACAGTAATTGCTTTTATTTTCTTTCTTACTAATCTGAAAAACAAAAATCTTACTCAGAGGACATACCACAGCATTAGGCTGGCCAGGAGTCGATACTGGTGGGATCAGTGGACGTAGATAAGATGGCCCGGTGGTGCCCTGTGGGGCTACAGATGCTGCGGGAGTGGGGGGAGGAGCTGGGGCTGGTCTGGATTCAATAATCTTGCCTGTCTGTTTCAGTTTGACCAGGTTGAGGGCATCTCTGGAGATAAGAGGAAATTACATAACTGTGGTTAGCAACAAGCAATAGAAGACAGCCTTTAGAAAACCGAGGCAGGATGTGAAGGAAGATATAGTCTCATAGCATATAATGCAAAATCAATTATCTGAACTAGAAAAGGAAATCCTTTTCCTACATGGTCTGCTGACTCTCATTACTTATCCAATGGCTATATGTACATTTTCAATAACTAAATAGCAGTCAGAATTTTATCAATGAACTGGGTATAGATAGTAGTTTTTAAAAAGCAAATCAGTCTTTTTATTGGGAGTTGTATGTCACTTGATAAGAGCAATTCACTACTTAAAACATGCTTTCATTCTTTATACTTGTAAAATAATTTTCACGAAGCATTCAGAAAGTGTAAAGTTTATTGTACCAAAGGCTTTCATTAAGCTGACTAAAGCATTATTTATTCTAGTGCTAATGAGCTTTATTATGGCCAGAAATTCACATCACTCTTAATTTGCTCAATATGCAATCAGCACAACCTAACTTAAAAATCCTAACTACAGCATCACTTAGAATGAAAAATAGCTAGTTACAGACTTACCTTTGTACTACTTCAACAAACAAGATTATCTTTTTTTTTTAAAGTATGATTATATTAAAACATGTCAAGTCCTCAATTCATTGTACTGTTACAGTGGGTAAAAAGGAATGCATTTTCTTAAACAGCTTTTTGGAAAAAATATACAAAAATTTATATATGTATATATATATTATGTGTATATATATTTGAGACAGGGTCTTGCTATGTAGTTCAGCCTGGCCTTTAACTTCCAGGCTGGCCTCAAATTCACAGTGATCCTCCTGCCTCAGACTCCTGAATGCTGGGATTACAGGTGTGCACCACTATGTCCAGCTAGAAAAATTTTTTAAAATCCATTTTGTGTAATCTAGAAAAAACCTTCAAGGCAACACAAATTTAAAGACAACTTATAGTTTAAAAAATTTCTCAAAATACAATTAATATTTTAGTATTATTCTGATTTTGGCATAACCAAATCAAAACCTTTAAAGAGAAAAACTTAGCATCCATTGAGCATATTTGAGATAACAATTATCCTCCCCTAAAAAATAATCTCTTATTTAATATCTTCTAGCAATATCACAGGCAAACTTCTGAAATAGCCCCAGTATTGTTGTGCTACATCAGTGATGGTGAACCTTTTAGAGATTTCAGTGATTACAAACAGCCCACTGCAGCACATATGCATGTGTGGCATAGGTTCGCCACCACTGTCCTCTATAATCCCTGTAGCCTGTGGTTCTGTGAATATGACAGATATCACCACCATGATTAGGTTACGTTATGTGACAAAGTTGATGGGATTCTATATATGTGACTAAGGTTCTGAATCAGTTAATCAAAAGGCAAATTATCTTGGAAGAGGTGGGCATGACAGGGAAGAAATGGGCCTCCTGAAAGAAGAGACAGGGGTTAAAAGAGATTCAACTGCTGGCCTTGCAGCAAAGTTACAGAGAACTGTCACGGCAGAAGCCAAATGAAGCTGACCCCTAGGAGGAAAGAGCAGTACCTGATTGACAGCTAGTAAGGAAACGGGGCGGAGTCTGATAGCCTCAAACTAGAAGAGGACCTCGAGGAACCTTCATAATGAGACTCCACTTTGGGCGATGCCTGGATTTTAGCCCTGTGAGACTATGAGCCATGCTGTGCCCAGACTTCTGACCTACAGAACTGTTAGGTAACAAACAGGTGCTCAAGCTGTCAAGTTTGTTGAAAATTATTATCCACAATAAAAAAGTATCATAGGCAAGAATGTTCTAACCTGGGGTACATGACTAAAGAGATACCTCAATGAGTACTGACACGTTTGTCAGGGAAGAGGACCTGTGCTTTACATCGGATCCAGAAAGGGGTACATGAACCTCGAGTTAAGTGCAACTAACTTATTTATTTCAAAAGTAAAGAAGTAACATTTAGATGAGAGGTCATATTGACAAGCAAATATAAAATGCCACATCATAGTGGATCCGTAAGTATTGCAAGAAGGTAAAAGTGGAAAAATAATCCTATCATGTGTCAAGTAAGTGCTTAGGTAAACTTAATTTACAGACAAGCAGGCTCACGATGGTTAAATTCTATGTCTAACCCGGTATTTCTCAAGCATCTATTCTATTCTAGATGTCGGGAGATGTCAGGTTAAAATGGACACTTCCCATCATATTATATATTATACATCATTGCATATATCATTACATAAACAATTCAGGATGATGATGATGTATCTGAAATAAAGAAAATAAAGCAGAATAATAAGATAAAGAGCAATGGATTAGAAACAGAGTTACTTTCAAATCAGATGATTAGAGAAGGACTGAGTAGATATTTGTGAAGAATTATGTAAAGGAGCAAGGTCAAGAGCCAGGAAAAGTATGTTTCTAGGCAGAGGGAAGAATTAAGTGTAAAGGCAGGGATGAATAGAGGGAAGGACAGCACTGAAGAAGTACACAAACAAAATGGAGAGAGTTACAAGAGAAAGCTGGAGAGGTAAGCAGCTAATAGCTGCCAGGGGTGGTTTCAAACTCCAGAGCCAATCCAAACCCCGCACATTTTCTATACCTTTCTATATCTGAGATTAACAGCAACCTTGGAATAGAATAAAGCTAAATGCAGGACTTCCTGACAAAGGCCTTTTACCCATCATATAAAAAGTAACAGGAACATATCGGTGGCAATGCTGGTTCTCAAAGGTAAGCCACCACCTGGTCACGGTGACAGGAAGACTGAGGGAGTACAGAAGGTATGTGTCCTAGGAAAGTATCTTACGCATCTTTATGGCTTTTGAAAAGCTTACTTCTGTTCAGAAACAATTTTAACTCTATTTATGACATTTATACTCAAAAGCGCTGCTTTCCAGTTAACTGTGATTATACCTACATAACTGCCAATACAATCCCTGGAGACCTATGTCATGAGCCAAAATCCTAGCCAGATAGAAAAAGTGCCTGCACTGATATAAAAACAGGGCTTTCTGTCGATTCAGAAAAATGCCTCCAACAGAAGAAATTTAGCTTATTAAAGCTCTTATAAATTACAGCCTATTGGTCCCTTCCATTTTATGTAACATAATTAAATATATCTCTCTGACAAACTATACTACTGATCTAGGTTTTAAACAAAATTAAAATTTCATGCCAAAATGGTAAATCCAAAATACATTAATTTCCTTATTTAAAGATCACCAGTTACTCTCAAGTCAATAAAAAAGCAAATATACAACACAAGAAGGCTAAAAACCTGTTTTTAATACCTAAATATATCTATTTAAAATAAGGTTAGTGACACTAACTAGACACATTTTTATTGTACTATCAGCCTAACAATCACCTATTTTATCAAGAAAAAGTTTACTTTTATCCCCATGGCAATTACAATTCATAGGAAAATGGCACTGGGTGAAGAATAAAAGTAAACAGGAGTCATTAATTGTAAATAACCACATAGCAAGTACTTTTGGCCACTGGTTCACAGAAAACTTTGCTGATTTTATAATTACATACCTCATGAAGTATAAATGCTAAGTATTGTTTAACAACAATTTAGTTTCTGTAATGCAGAAATGATTTTAATAATTTCCATGGGTTAAATAATTAATTATATCAAACTTAGGAATTAAATAGGCATGAAAAGCTATAAAAATTAGGGAGAAAAACAAATACACCATATACATCTGCACAAAGGCAGGGGATGCTCTGGAAATTCGCTTCTCTATTACAATCTCCCACAAAGCAACTCATTTGGGTGAATTAATTTTAAAAAGAGGAATCATCAAAAAGTGGACAAATGCCTGTCATACCAGATTTTTGAGGTAGTAATATGAACATAAACATTAACTTCAATTATGGTTTAAGAATCAGATATACCGGGCCGGGGATTTAGCTCAATGGTGCCACTGCCTGTCTTGCAAGTGCAAGGTTCTGAGTTCAATCCCTGGCACCAAAAAATAAATAAATAAATAAAAGAAAAAAAGAAAGTAATCAGATATACCAGAGACAGTGAGGCTGCAGGCAAAGAACCTACATGTGCTCTGCCTCTAACTGGCTCGGCATTTGGTCTCTTCTAATATTTTAATAGTCACTTGAAGGCATTTTCCTGAATCAGTGCTGATACTTTGCACAACATATATTCTAAGGAATATGTTTGAATGCAAAACTGCAATAGCAGCTCTGACACCTCTAAGATTTTCTTCATAAGCAGAGGCGCATCTTCAGCAGCTGGAACTGACGCTGTGCTCTACTTGCACTTGCGCCTGACTGGATGTGGAGGAAAACGATCCCTCACCGTTTCCAGAAAGTGTGCTAAGGTATTTTGGGGGGCAGGTTTTTTGGCAAAGCCTACAGTTTTTCAACCATATCAGACAATGACTGTTCGATAGATAACAGCCAGCCAAAATATTTTCTAAAACTCACCTTAAAAACACAGGCATCTTTATCTTTAGCACCACAGAAAGCAAAAATTCTCACTAATATATGCTTTAGGGATCCATTTTTCTTGTGAAATCTTTTGCAATTTTTGTATTTTGAAGATTAAATATGAATTTCCTTATGTGAGGAGTTAAGGGACAAGGGCAGGAAAAGATGGCAGAAATATTAAAATCTTAGCTCCTTAATACCGCTTCCCTAAGGCACCCAAAAGGTAACACTGCACAGCTTCGTTCTCCTTAAGAAATGCTACATCGATGATTTTCAACTCAGGTCTTTAAAAAAGAGATATCTGTACATCACATATGTATCAAGCACATATGAAAAAAGAAAGGAAGAGGTCTTATTTCTTTGTTCCACTGATGTCACGCTACTGAACTGTCTTCCAAAAGGTCCCCTGATCACCAAATTCGAAGGTGTTTGCTCCGATCCCATCTTCCCTGACTTTTTATCCATCTCCCAATTTAACCTTCTAAGGGTCTAACTATGGATGATCTCAATTATATTGCTTTATCATTTACCAAAATTACCTTTCTAGTCCCAAACTGTCTCCTGTGATACCTTTCACTTCCCTGACCCTAATCCCTTGAGGGATTCTAAAAGCTAATAGTAAGCTTCAAACATAACTTACTCCAAGACAAATGCTTCCCCAAAACTATTACTTCAGTTTCTGGAGCCAAGATTTTCATCACACAGATCAGAATTGCAAAGTCATTCCTTGACTATCATCATCCTGGCCTACATTCTATATTTGATTGTTTACAAAGGCTTCCGGATTCTATCCTCATGGTGTCTGTATCAGAATCTCCCTTTTACTTCTATATACATGAAGTACATTATCTCTTAGATTACTTTATGAGCCTAGTAATTTACTTGACTACCATAAGTAGTTTTCTGTTTCAATTTCTCTGACACAAATTTGAAAAACTGATCCTTCTAAGCAGTTATGATTATTTTATACTTTACCAAATCTTCAATGATTAATGAATAAAATGTAGATTCTTCATCTTGTCTCTCAGAATCATAGGCAAGGCAAGCCTACTGTTGCTACAGAATTCTATTAAAGCATACATGGGTAAATGATTAACAAAATGATGGAAGTGATTATAGGCACTAAAAGAGCACTGATGTGGGGAAAGAAACTAGCCTTGACTGGTTGTCAGGATTCTTAATTTTAGCTTTTCATGAGTAAGTGAACCTTTAAATCCTCTAACTAAAAACCCTGTGGTTTAGGATGTTCTTTCAGGACAGCAAATTTCCAATACATGAAGTACGGTAAGAACCGTCCAGTGTATATATAACAGAAATACACACGATTTGGTTACAAATTAGTAAGGCCATAGTGTAGTGCAGTGGTGGTGAACCTATGGTACTTTCTTTTAAGACAAAAGATGTTAATGTATGAGTTGTTTTTTCTAAATTAAAACCTTACTATTCAGGTTTAATTGTAGCGTTGGCACTTCGGGTTCCAGTTTGGGCCCTCTTCTCTAAAATGTTCATCATCAGTGGTACAGAGAAATGAGGACCTCTAAGAAATAAAGCGAACTGCTTTCAATAAAAGAAATATCCAACAGGAAACCATTGCTCTAATGAACAGCAAATTAGTGAAAAAAATCAATTTGCTTAATCCAGCCCTGCCACTTAATAATTTCATACCTTTGGCTTTATTTCAACTTACAAAAATTCTGGCCAATATTACTATTTATCAGTATTAGTCAAACAATGGAATGAATATATTGCTTTGAAACACTAATTCAGTTTGAAATATTTAATATGACTGTCAACAGAAATGTACCACACATTACTATGGTGGGTTTTGTTTTTTTTTTTGGTACCAGGGATCGAACTCCGGTCCTTGTGCTTGCACAGCAGGTGGCGAAACCACTGAGCTAAATTCCCGGCTCCTTACTATGGTGGTTTTATATTTGTTCATAAGCCTGTTTGACTGTTCTTTTCTTCACCCTTAGACTAAGTCCCAATGTTGAAGGGACCATCTCTTTTAATATACTGTTGAAAGGCTGAAAAATTTAGACAACTGGAAAGATATACCCATTTCTTGAAATAGGATGACTCCTTACCATAAAGATGTCAGTACTTACAAAGTTAATTAAATACAATCCCATAGAAAGTTCTTCCCACCCCTACCAGAGGAGCTGGAAGATTTGCTTAAAATTTATTTGGAGGTATAAAATAAGAATATACAAGTAAAACTAGTTTATGGAAAAAGAAAAGCAACAGAAAGTAATCTGATAACTATCAAATTTTAAAATATACTATAAAACATTTAGAATTAAAAGTGTGGTACTTAAAAAAAAAGGTACTAACTCATGGAGAAATAGATCAGTGGCCTAGAAAAGAAAATCCACAAAGAGAAGGATATAGAAATTACTTTGAAACAAATGAATAAAATCCAAGTAGATAAAAACTACATTATTTAAAAAAATATATTTCCATGTTTTAGAAATTTCAATGTAATTAGGTGATGACTGCATACTAACTTGAAACACTGTTTCACTGTTTTGCACTCTAATTTTCTGCACTTATTACCATTTTTAAGGATCTGACTTAGTTACATACTAAATTAGAAATATTCTTCAATACTGCTGCAATTACTCAGAAAACAACCCTTGCACAGAATACAATTTACCCTGACAAAAGCAATTAAAAGCACAAAAGAACAATGTATCTCCTTTTAAATCTAAACACTGAATAAGCTCTTTTTAAATTCTTTTAGAAAAAAGATAAATAACCCAATTGATTATTACAAAAAGCACACACATACTCTTTAGTGAATATCCCCCGAGGGCCGGTGGCTGTGCCCTGGCTGGCATCCAGCGCATGTTTCTCCAGAATATTGCGCGCAGCTGGACTTAAACGGAACCTAAGAAGAAAACATGAAGCTTAATGGAACTAATTAACATTTAGGCTGATTCAAACAAATCTAAATGTCAACAGTTTGGGGAATAATTAGAAATTTAAAATACTAAAAGTAAAATGACTCCCATATATGGTCACAGTCAAATAAATTAATCTGCACTGCTCTATTTTATTTTACTTTCAAAACATTTCATAAAAAATTAACTAGTTACTACGTCAAAATATTCTTTTAGTAAGAGTAAATATTCATTAGCAAAAAGCAGTTATAATTACATTTCAATAGGTCATCATAATATATCAATAAGGAACTTAACTATATTGTTTATATATTTTTATTACGATCAACTATACAGAAAATTTTAAATTTTAAGCATTTTAAGGGATACAGTTCAGTGGGATTAAGTACAATCACACTGTCGTGCAACTATCCCCCATCCATCTCCAGAACTTTCTCATCTTTCCACTGAAACTGTGTATCCATTAAATAAGGACTTCTTGGTCCTCCTTTCTCCCAGTCCCTTATTATTCCACTGTCTCCACTAATTAATTACATATTTCATAACTGTGTAAGTGGAATCACACAACATATGTATTTCTGTGACTGGCTTAATTTTCCTCAGCACATCTTTGAGGTTTATTCATGCTGTAGCATGTACCAGAACGCTCTTTCTGTTAAGGCTGAAAAACATTTCAAGGTATGTACAGAGCATTTTGGACACATGAGTTGTTTCCGCCATTTTGCTATTACGTATAGTGTTGTGAATAGTGAACGCATGTATAAATACTGAATGCCTGCTTTTAATTCTTTTGAATATAAACACACATGTATACACATATATACCTGTATATATATAGTCTCACAAGTAGACCTGCTGGATGATACGGTAATTCTCTTTTCTGAAGAAATGTCATACTGTGTTCCACTGCAGGTGTACCATTTTACATTCTCACCAGCAATGTAAATTTCAGTTTCCCCACATCCTCACCACCATTTGCTAAATTCTGAGGGGTTTTTTGTTGTTGTTGTTTAATAATAGCCATCCTAATAGGTTTGGAGTGGTGTCTCATTAGGATGTTGATTTGTATTTCCCCAATGATTAATGATCCTGAGTATTTCACATGTGTACTAGCCATCTTTTTATCTTCTTGGGAGAAATGTCTAAATCCATTGCCCATTTTTAATCTGGTTTGTTTCACTGTTATTGAGTTGTCACCTTTGTATATGTTTTAAAATTCTTAGTTTTATATGAAAGTATTTTTATTTTACATATACTTCAGAAGAGTAAGAGTAGAAAAACAACTTTACTGAGTATATGGACAAGAAAGGAGTACCTAAGTTCACACTGCTACTAAGTGTCTGTCTTCTCCTAAGACCTTTAAGCAACATAGCAAACACAAATGACTACATATTCAAACAAAGAATAAATGGCTGGGTTTGAAAGATTAAAACTAGCAAATGGAGAACAACTTGCTGTATTTCAGCAAAGTAGCACTAGTTGACAAGTGTCTAGTATTATAAAATCTTCAGTCCTTTCAAGAGAAACTCCAATTTTTATATAAGATTAGTACAAAACCAATTAAAAACTTTTTATTTTTTAAAAATCACTGTGTGGACCAACAATGGTCACATTCACAGGTCAGTCAGTTTTTAACCCACACACTGTGACCTCAGAATGATCTCAGCTAAGAGCATACAGTTACCTTTGCAAGAAGACAATTCCATATCATTAAGTAAAACACACTGATAAGACTCTCTCTCTGATTTTCATGGTAAATGAAAGAAGAGAAAGTAAAAGGAGTCAAAGCATGGGAATCTTACTTTCTGTCTCTAAATTATGATGTTATACCTCATAAATATGTACAAATACTATGAGTTGATTAAAAATAACAAACAAAAAATCCACAAATTGACACTTCAGAAAACACTGTGAATTTTTTTTCTGACCAGAGCTGACACTGGTAACTGAAGAAAAAAGTAATAAATGAAAGGCTCTGCATTTTTTTAAGTTGAAAAGCAGTTCTCTGACAAATTTCTTAACATAAGGTAATTCTATATAATTATTGAGAATATTAAAATAAATAAGTGAAAATTGTTAGAATTTGCAGAGCTCAATTAAAGCTATGTAAAGTAAAATGTTTACAAAATATCAGTTTTGTCACAGAGCAATTGAGCGCTCATCTGTCAGAAGCTCAAATGCAAAACAGTTTGAAAAGGAATACATGTTAAACTGGTGATTGCATTTTGTCAGTTATACATGTGACACCCAAATTCACATTGTGGTAATTAGAATTCCATGAATAGGAACACAGTAAGGAAGTCTGGTATACTAAATGCCATTCTCGAACTGTAAAACCTAATTCAAGCTCAATGTAAACACAGACTGTTTTGTTCTCCTTTAAGCAAGCAAGGCTTTCAGAGCACCTAGAACACAGCAGGTATTCAGTAACTGTTTATTGAATCTCAGGGTTCTCAGAGAAAAAGGGAAGATGAGCAACTTCCTACTTAATGTACAAAGATGCTTATATTATATTAATGATTACAAACCCCAAGAACAGCCATACCAATTTTCTTACATCATTATTTAAACATACTCACTGCAGTGTACCCAGTGTATGTCCCTTCTTCACAGACAGAGAAATCTGTGGTTCTGGTGAGGGGCCAGGCACTGATGGTTTTGAAACTGGTGGTGGAGGACCTGCATCTTTGGGAATTTCAATATGCTTCCAATCTTTTCCTTCTTCAACCATCAAACCAATCAGTGAACCTAGTCGAATATTTTTAGTTCCTTCTTCAACCTAAATTAAAAAAAAAAAATAATTGCAGAATGGAAAGCTTCATGAGTGAATGAAGTAGTTTATTTCTTAGTTGGATACTTTTGTACTGGCTAGGAAGATCTCTTAAATATGAGCTGAAAGCTGCTTTCAGGACAGCTTGCCTCCACCTTCAACCTGCCACCTTCCTTTCCTACCTTCTCCTACATACCCCCCTTCACCACTCTTTCTCTCGAAGTTACTCATGCTACCTCTTGAAAGGAAGGAAAAATCTAGAACCACTCCTTTTTCTAGCAGCTTTCAAATATTTATGAGCTTTTGTTGCTATGTCAATTAAAACAAATCCAAAACAGGAAACTGTGGTTGTGTATCTCAATTATTTGTCTTTCCCAGTCTCTATACAATGGCTTCAGAATTGCAAGAGCTCATAAGGGATTAACTCCTCCAAATCAGTCCTACTTAGTAAAATTAATTTAAAGCAAAATCTTTTCAGTAAACTTAAGTCTCTGTGGGGGTGTACAAATGTGTGCATGTGTGTGTTCCATCATATAGATAGAACTGGTTAACTATTCTGGTTAATGTTAAGTATAGTTTAACTGTTCTCTATTATTTCTTTACCTAAATATCTTCTTACAAAACCTGGAAATAAAATAAATCTCACAGGCTTTTTATAATTATATCAGAAACACAATGGTGTCCCAGCTAACTAATTTTTCAGACAATATCTACCAACTAACAAGAGAGATCAAAAATGCTTTTTAAAATTAAGATAAATATATTTAATCATCTAAAGAGAATTAATTTACAAGGGACAAGCTAATTCTGATTTACTTATACCAGTCCCTAGAGTACCACTAGATAGCAATATTTTATAGGGTCATTACAGGAAGAAAATGTCTTTTCTTCAAAATATTCTATTAGTCTTTTCCAACTACTCTAAATAAGGTTCATTTCAGGTGTATTTAATGAATAACAGAATGACAGGCTGCAGAACAGGCCTACCACAGAACTTATAAAGAAAAGCATAATTCCTAGGATGGGTTTGACATTTTGGAGTAAAATTTTGCTTATTAGTATGTGTTCTACTCTTAAAATAATAAGGCATAAATTTTGTACATTAAGAAACTTTATAAATTTACTACCAATGAGGAATATAAACAATGCTTTAATGAAACAAGCATAAGAAATGGGTATACAAAACTAAAGAAGGATATAATGAGTTACAACCTATGGAAAAATACTAAACAATCCAAGAAAAATTTAGTTGCTTGGTTGTCAAATACTAAAAAGCTTTACTTCTGTGGGCTGTTCATTTGTCTTTACTATGTCAAAAAGATGAGTTAGATTATAATTAGACTCACAATTTTTCTTCTCCTAAAAGTGTTTAATTACCTGCTTTACAAAATGCTAACTCAAAATCAAATGCTCACAAAATGCTAAGTCAAAATGCCAACTTTTCTAAAAAATTGATAGCAAAAGCATTAAATATAAATTCGATTTGATATTAATTTCAAAACTGAAACATAAGATCAATATACAAGTACAAAGAACATGATTCAAATACAAAACATTCAAAAATGGAGGCAAGTTTTTTTAAAAAATATCAATAGATGTCTGAAATGTGAGTCAGACTCCACAGTAAATGTGAAACTGACACTTCGGCATCTGTTTCATTTACTAGAAGTCACAGAAATGATTCCATATATACACTACCAACATGATATTGACATTTTCACAAGCAGCCAATGATAACCCTTTATTATTTCGGTTTGTATTGATCTAAATAACAAATAAGATGTTATTTTTAAGTATTCACATTTTTTCCAGTCAAAACAAAAAATAAGAAAAGGGCTGGGGATGTAGCCCAGCAAGATATCCTTGAGTTCAATACCCAGTATCATGGAAAAACAAGAGAAATGAGTAATTCTACTTTTAAAAATTATTTCAAAGAACGGTTTACTAATAAAAATTATCAGCGAATATATTACCAGTCAATAGAATATTGGCACAAGCCTGTAATTCCAGCACTAGGAGGCTTAGGAAGACTGTTTCAACCTAAGGCGACCTCACATGGCAGGAGCGGGGCCAGGCCCTGGCAGCTCATGGCTGAGAACGCGAGGCACCCAAGTTTGAACGTTGGTGGCACCTCCCACTGGTCTCCCAGGGTAGCTCCCCGCAGCCCCACCCACCTCTCCTGCAAGCCTCCCAGCACTGTGCACTCCCTGGTGACCCAGCCTTAATATTGCAGCTGCATGCTCAATTTCACGCAGGGTGCTACAGGCAAAAGCATTCTACAAGATCCCTGGCCTATTTTCCAGGAGCAAGGCATGGCGGACTTGCTGCATGTTTGGCAGGACTGTGGCTACTTAGCAACCTACACAAACAAACACAGCAGCTTTGCCAGTTTGAGAATTTACCCACATGGAATGGTGTTGCTGGACCTTCAGAGTTGAGACAGTGATACCTATGCAGGGCAAAGAAGAAATTGACAACTTTTTGAACAAAGCAGAAGAGAGAATGGAAGCACTGAGCCAGGGCAGCCCTGGGAAGGTGAAGCCTTTGCCACCCATAGTCTGAGGAGGCACCATCGATGACTACTGGCCCACCGCTGCTGAGTGCCTGGTTGAGTACAACACAGATGAAATGGTGCATGACAAAGAAGGTTCACCTTATCAGAACATTAAAATTCTACACTCCAAGCAGCTGGAAATATCCTCATCCTCAGTGGAGATGTTAATTTGGCGGAGTGATGTGGACTACACCAGGGCTATTATGGGCAGTGGCAAAGAAGATGACACAGGTAAAGATGAGCTGATTCTTGGAGGCAGAGATGTTGACTTATATATGAAACAGTAAGGTGAAACCAAAGATGGTCACTATGGTAGAGAGTGACCAAATGGCGCTAGATGGGCATTAAGAACCACATGTGAAAAATATGTAGCGGCATATGAGGTAAACCGCTGTCAGGTTCTAGTAGAAGACTGCATCCCAGGACTGAAGGCTAATGATGTGACAGCTGTCCCAATATCCATGTCTCCAGAAGATGATTCCATGTGGAAATTTCTCCAACTGATTCTTGACCTCCCAATGAAAGTATTGAAACAGGATGGGAAATACTTTATACAGGGCAACTGTGCCAATTTCCCAGATGCCCTGTAATTCTAGGAAGAACTTGGGTGCCTGTATTATCCTGTGGAACTCTCGAAGGAGATCACCTGTGTCCATTCATACTTGGAATTGCAGTTATTTTACACCATCTGGAAGAAAGCTCACCCTTAGGAGGAATATTCCCTAATCATGTGTGCCGCAAACAGCTTCCTGACCTCCTTATGCTGCGTGGGACAGCAAAGCAAGTTGGGCAACTGGCTGAAAATTCCAAAAAGTTTTCTCTTTTTTCACTATTTTTAATTTAGAAAAACAAATGATGAACTAGGGTGTTATTTTTTTAGAAGTCGGGTGAAGGACAATTAGCACAGCAAAGACTGCAAAATGCACTGACTCCCTAAAATGTGACTTTTGTTACATTTTATTTCTATATGGGTTAGTTTTGTTTTGGGTGGAACTTAAATTTGGATCTTTGGAGGAATGAACATCATTGTTTTCTTCCAGAAGAAAGTTTCTGATGTTTTTCTTTTCCAAAAAATTGACTTAAATGTTAAAATTTTTCAAAAACAGTTAGGATAGCAAATGAATAGCAATGCTGCAAATAAAATTATGAGAGGAAATAAAAGAAAAAAGTCTTGGGTTCAATAACCAGTACTAAAAAAAAATTCAAAATAATTTTAACAACCTAATAAACTCCACATACATCATGCTGAAACTACTTTATTGATTCATCATTTATAACACCTGCTGTCTATTTTGCTGTAAATTTAAGACTAAGCTGATTAACTGATTCTATTTTGTAATAAAGGTTTTCTGCATGACAATTTACTAGTGACTAAAAGGGAATTTAACCCCCCTCAATAACAGAAATAAATTGTAAATAAATCACATTTACACTGACAGCAGTTATTATTTATTAAAACATGAGGAACACATAAGCTTTTTTTCTTGATTTACATGTAATAAATATTACCTTATATGTAAAATGGAATTCAGATGCAAAAATTATAAGGCTGCTTAAAAAGAAAATAGTAAAATTGTGAAGGCAGAATAATATAAAAACCTCTCAAAAACCATGGAATTAAATTCATAAGAAGAGTAAAATAAACTATAATTTCTAATCTTTTCAAAAATGTGGACTCAAATAAAACACTTATAGATTTAGCTGCTTAGAGTTTAAGTATTGTTCTTAATTTTAGATCATTCCTTGCTTTTTAATAAGCTTAGTTATCTAACTCTTTGGTTCTGAAAGTAGAAATCTCTTATATGAACTCCTATAAAATCATTTTATTATATGTGACAGTATAAGAATTCTTCCATGATGAAAGATAAAAGTGCAAAACTCTTGCTAGTGGTGGTGCTGCTGGTGGGGAAGAGGAGCAGAAGACAAAACAAAATAAAACAAAAAAATCTCACTGGTAATACTACCTTTTTTGGTCCATTTTCTTTTTCTCTGTAAAATTGTACATACTGCGACATGAATATACTCTCATTTCCATTACCCAAAAAGCATGAAGAATAATAAAAGAGCCACAATATGTATATATGTCATATAATCTTTTTTGGTCAGGGAATAACTGTTGGGAGGTGTTTATTAACTATAACTACCCACCTTTTTTGCAGAGCATTAGGTGCCAGATGAATAGGCATTACTGACTGACCCACTGACATGGTTAGCAATTTGAAATGCATTACTAAGCAGCTAAGTGGAAAATTCTATCAATTTTGGAAAATTTTCACAGCCAAACAGCCCAAAATTATGGCCAAGAACACAGCCTGCTAAAAGCATACCAATAAAACATTACTGGGTTTATTACATGTGGTAATCCAAGAAATCCTTTCCTTTTTCAAAATATATAAATTAGTTAAATGGTATGAATATTTTATATTTTCCCAGTTGAAGAAAGAACAATTTTAACCTTCAATTCATATTTCCTCCAAGGAAGTTAACTGTATTTTCAACAGTGTGTTTTAACCTGGATGACAGTTATCATAGATGGCTAGTAAAGGATGTTTGACATACTAAAACGTCACTTAAAAATAAATGGTTTAGAAAAAAAAAATAATAAGGGCTTTCAAAAAAATGCACAAAAGGGCCGGGGATTTAGCTCAGTGGTTTCACCACCTGCTGCGCAAGTGCAAGGACCCAAGTTCGATTCCCGGTACCAAAAAAGAGAGAAAAAAAATGCACAAAAGGCTGGGCACAGTGTTGCCAGCTTGTAATTCTAGCTACTCTGCAAGCTGAGTCAGGAGGATTCCAATATCAAGCAGGGCCTAAGCAACTTAGTGAGACTTTGTCTCAAAATAATAAAAAGGGCTAAGGATATAGTCTAGCATGCTCAGAGCTCTGGTTCAATCCCCAATACTGGGAAAAAAGGAAAAGTGCAAATGGATTTTCTAGAAGAAATACAAATTTTAAAAATGTTAAAAGATCTATAGCTAATTAGAGTATAACAATCCAAAGTGCGGTCTTTGGATAGAATGACCAGAGGAAGTTGTATCCAGTCAATGCAGGGGCAAGCTGGTGGCTTACAACTAAAACCATACTGACAAGGGACTACAAACAGGTACACAGCTTACCTGTACAAACTGTACAGGTACAAACGGATACTTACAGTCCAGCCAACCAACATGAATGATGAGATAAATGTCCAGACTGACACAGGGGCTAACAGTCACCAAGAACTGAATAAACGATTCTAACATTTATCGAGCACTTGGTGGGTAGCAGGTTTGGGGATGAACATTTACCTATTCTCTCAGTTAACCTGCCCTACTCCCTGTGAAGTATTATAATCACCTCTACTTTATTATGAAGAAAAAGTCACCAAGGTTTTGCTACTCTCTACATAGCTAATAAGTAGCAAAAGTTTTTAGCTACATGAAATGGGCCACAGTGTGGCACCAAAGTCAGTTTTAGCTGCTATAAAATAGTCTCTGGCAAATGTGCTATAAGGGAAGAAATAGCCTGCTCTATCAGTAATTGTATCACATAACCCTAAACAGTGATGCTTTTATCATACATGGTTCATTTTATTTACTTTACTCATATGCTCTAATGCTCTAAAATTGTTTTTAAAATAACAGATCATATATGAAATTCAGAGAATACAGAAAAACAGGCTATAACTGGACCTTCACAGTAAAACATTTTAAACACCTGAATAAAAAACGTATTATGCAACAGAAAATAGTAAAAACAGAGGTAAACACAGAAAGTAACTTCACCTCCAGAAACTTCATGTTTAAGGAGTCTTCACCCTATTGGAGATCATTAAAATGAAAACTTACCACGATTTTGGCCAAGATGCCGTCATCACTTGCATCTAAGGTAACTACAGCTTTGTCAGTCTCGATTTCACACAATGCATCTCCGGCGCTCACAGCTTCACCTACAAAACAAGACCAGGTTTGTTTGGTTTTTTTATATATAAATATGATTGTTAATATGAGGGTGTATAAAGCATAAATAAACAACAAAATATTCTATATCTATTTGTGGACTGTGGAATTACAAGTAGTTCTCACTGCCAGTGTGGCTTTACATGGACATATGTGTATGTTTTGTTGTATTTTCCAAAAGCTCTATGATACATACAAATTATATTTGTCATTATAAAAACTGTTACAAAGATTCTGGAGCAAATATTAAAAATGAAATTACACTTTAGAGACATCAGCAAGAATTAACATCCTCTTTGGGAATCAACTTCAGACCCCGTATCTCCTTTTTAATACAATTTGATTATCCTTCTGTCAAGATTAATTTATATTAATTAATAGAATATTTGGGTTGACATCTTAAGGCAAGTTCAGAAACCAGAAATTTGTCAGCACAGCATTAATAAATATAGCATAAAAAGTGATACTCAAACACACAGCGAAGTCAAATAAGAACCACTTCTGTGATGGAAAAGATAAAAAAATTTAAAAATTTGAGCAGAACCTGACATTATAGACATGCTGCATTCTGGATCTAGAAGCAGGTTTGTGGTGAGGAGGAGAGAAGTACAAAGGTTTCCTCTGGGAAGTAACAGAAACTAAAAGCAGCCCGGTAGACCCAGCGTACTTAAACCAGATTCATCACTTGAAGCTAGGGCCAAGTCTGGGTTCTTCTACTCAGAATCTGAGGCTGATGAAATGAGCAATCAAATTCTATTGGTTGAGGTTTTGGCTTTAATCTAAGGCTGTAGGTATAGGAAGATGGGGGAGAAAACCACTGCCTCCATACCAGAAAACGTGTCCTTTGGGTTCAGGACCACATCTGACAATATCCGCAATATCATTAGCAAAATCCAGGAAGGGGGATGGACAGAGAAGGCACACAGGAGATAGGTGGGAGGGAAGACACTGAAACAAAAACCTTCCACTAAGATGCAAAACAAAGTTCTGACACATGAAGAAATCTAATACTAAAAAAAAAAAAAAACCACAAAATAACTAAAATGAAACGGATTTTAGAAGCAATTCATTTATAGCAATCTGCCAAGAATAATTATCTTGAGGATGTTAAAAAGTAAAAAATGAATGTAAAAGTGTTGTCACAAGAACAAGAAATCAAAAAAATGATGTACAGACATGAAACAAAATATTATCAGCAGGAAGGAAGAAAACAAATTCAAAATCTTAGAAATAAAAAATTAAATCACTGCAATAAAAGGAATCAATGGGAGATAGTCTAGACAGAACACAGTGAAAGAGTGACACTGAAAGTCAGCACCAAGGAACTACCCAGAACTTAATACAAGCAGACAAAAAGATTTTAAAAAAGAGCCTCCAAGTGACAGAGACAGATGCCACAATGCTTGTCTAATGGAGGTCCAAGGGAAGAGAGAGAGAGGAGGGACTGGTAGAAAATCAATACATGAAGAGATCACTGCTGAGAATTTCTCAGAACCACAGATACCTATCTTTATAATGAAAGTGTTCTGAAAAGTTGTATGATGAGGAGGGGGTACAAAGGAGCCTTGCAGCACTTTAGGAGTTCTCTAAATCTTGATCTAGGTGGTGGTAACAGGGACATATGCACATATAAAAATTAATTCAGGTCTCATCTTGTCCGAGTTACACCCTGACAAAAAGCTCAACAGGACAGAGAATATGAGACTGTATAAACATGAATCCACATTAGATACACTGTAGGTAAAATCACATGCTATCAACAATAAAAACACAATTTTAAGTTATCACAGGGAGGAAAACAGATTACCTCAGTGAAATGACAGACTGACAGCACACTTCTCAGCAGCTGCAATAGAGGTCAGGAGACAATTAAATAATATCTTTAAAAAGCTGAGAAAAATAACTGTCTAGAATTTTATATGCAGCCATATAAAAGAATGAAATAATTCTTTAGACATATAAAGGCTAAGAAAATTTACCACTATTGGAGATCACTTGAGTGAGCTCTTTCTTCTAAGATGCAGTTGATCAAGAAGAAAGGTGGACACGCAGAAAACCCATGGAACACATGATAACTTTTCACCAGGGAAGTAGTTAAAGTGTGAACTACTAACTATTCAAATAATAATGTATGAGGGTTTAAAACAGTGAGTCAAACTCTTAAAAACAGAATATAAAGGAATGTTTACATGATAATTAACCATGCTAACAACTCTGATATAGTTAGGAGAAAAACATATGGAATAACTCTAGACCTTACCTGACAAAATTTTAAAATAGAAATAAAAAAAGAAGAAATACTACCTATAGCACAGGAAAAATGGAAAATAACTGTATAACAGAAAGCAGGCACACAAAAAGAAAAAAGTCAGAGAATAAAAATAGAAGTGAACAAGAACAATAGAAATAAATCCAGCCGGGGATTTAGCTCAGTGGTTCTGCTACCTGCCTTGCAAGCCCAAGGACCCGAGTTAGATCCCCAGTAACAAAAAAAGGAAATAAATCCAAATGTATGTGTACTCACAATATAAATGGATTGAAATCAGTGATTATCAGAATGAATAAAGAAATAAAATCTTAGTAATTGTAGCTTACAAACTAAAATACAAATGAATAGAAAAATATGAGACATATCAGTATACTCCCTCAAACAGCCCCCCAAAATAGCTGGAATAGCAATATGAACACAGTAAGAGCATGAAGGAAAATCTAAAACACTAAGTTAATAAATATGCTCTGGAAGGCTTCCTAGAATTAAATGACCTCTCATCTGAGCCTGAAAGGATGAGAAGATAAATAAAAAGGGTAATGATCCAGGCAGAGGGCAGCACACAGAGCCCTGGAAGTAAAGAGAAATGGGCAGGGGGCAAAGAGCACAGGACAGAAGAGAAGAGACAAGGCTGCAAGATACACAGAAACTAGGCAGCCTAGTAACTAAATATTTCTTAAAAGCCAGAAAGTGAATTCTCACCATAAGAAAACAGAATAAAATTATGTTTTATCATTTGTGCTCACCGCTCACCTGTATTCAAAGTCCAACCACTCAATTTTAAGAATCATCTGTAAATTCTACCTCAGCTGTAACTTTCTGAGTAACTCCACTGTCATTTTTGTTCCTATGCCTGAATTCCCATCGTACTTATACTGAAATTGAAAAGAATCACAAGTTGCATTATAATATTTTATGATGCTATCAATTACTTTTTTAAAATTGGATTTTCCTCTACATACCAGACTGTGCACTCTTTCAGCAGAGGAAAAGACATACTTTAAGTATTTTACATCACACCTGTTCCCCAGATCTCAAGCCAGTGAGTGCCTTGGCACTTCACGAAGCTTTGACTAAAATATTTTAACTTCACAAATCCTTACTTCTTCAAAAGATACATACATCAAACTGTCTTTTCTATTAAATGTTTTTGTTTTCACATTTAATTTGTAGCATGCTTCTAACATTTAAAAAGACAGGTAGCCCTTTCCTTTGTAAAACTGTCCCTGTATCTTCTCAGCTGTCCTGTTGATGGCTGGCTGCAGAAGATGGCAGCCCTGGAGCATTTCTGTGCCATCTCCTCGTGGTCCATGTCAGTGGCGGAGGTGGAGCGGGCCCGGAACAAGAGTGCGGGCCCCAGGAGGGGCCAGAGCAGAGGCCCGCCCGGGGGCCGCTCCCCAGCACCGATGCCAGCATTGTGTCCTGTTCCTTCGTCCAGATGGGCAGCTGCCAGAGCTGAGGACGAACATGTAGGGAGGCTTCCCTCCCTCTTTGTAAAGCTGAGGCATGAAGTACAGTCTTGGTCAAATAGACTTTATGGTGATGCTTATTTTATTAACTAAACACATCCTATGGCTTTCACAAAATAATTATGTTCGACCAAAAATTAAGAGCAATCTGTATTTCAAAGGTATGCGTGGTGGTAGTTTTGGAGGCAGGCTGGTTATTTTCTGTAAGGCCAAGTAAATCAGATCTACATAAACATAAAAGAGAAAAACTTACTGCTATGTCGAACCACCATGACACCCACGATTAGAGGTAAAATTCAATGGTTTGCTCACCATTTATAAGCTGCCTCTGTATGAATGACATTGCATATAAGACAGACACTATAGCAGAAATGATAAAGAAGACCTTCTGCAAGAGGTTCCTAATCAGATGGAATAAAAGTACAAGCTGGCAAAGTCAATCTCATTCAATTAGGAGGAGTCCCCACGTCAGTGTCTGCCAACCCTTCTCACTTCCTGACAGTGACAGTGACGGCTGCGTGGCCCAAGACCTGAGGCAACCTGGTGCCTGTGCTACATCCCTGTAGCCTCTCATTCCACCTATCCAGTGGCTACTGCACAGGATAGTGCACCACACAACGTTTCTATCACCACAGGAAGTTCTACTGACTAATGCAGTAATCTATAATTCCATACGCTAGTTTTATAGTTCAGTTCTAATATAAATATTAGCGATAGCTATCAAAAAGCATAATGATAAAAATAATTTGGTAATAAAAGGAACGAATTGCTGATACATGCTACAACATGGATGAATCCCAGTCATGCCAAATGAAAGAAGCCAGTCACAAAAGCCCAAATATATGATTCCATTTATATGAAATGTTCAGAAAAGACACAATTTTAGGGAAAGAAAGTAGATGGAGGTTGTCCAGGGATATGGATGGGAGGAAGACATAAATGCCATCAGGCAGCAGAGCTCTTTTGGGGATGACAGAAATGTTCTAAAATGACTGTGGTTATGGCTGCACAATCTATACTTTAAAAATTACTGGACTGTATACTTAAAAACAGGTGAATAGTATGGTACATAAGTTATACTTCAATAAAGATGTTAAAATAATAACCGAAATAGTATACTGAAAAAGCACTGAAGCTTTTATGCAATATATTTGTCAAAAATTTTCCACTTTAGCCCCACAAACATATGTTCCCAGAAAATAACAGAAACCAATAAAGAAAAACCTCTTCTACAACAGCACCCAGATACCCA